TACTAGGACCAGGATTTTTATAGCTTCCAGGATTATGTTTCTGGCGGACATAATTCAGCTCTTGCTGCACCATTTTCAGTTTTGATTCTTTCCTATTGACTATTAAGTCATGTTCTATTGTTAGGTGCATAGAAAGATCAATGACATATTTAATGACAACGTTTATTCTTAATGTGGTGACATCCACAGTAAGGGAAGGGGGAGACTATTTAAAATGGTTGTCACTTGCATTCTTTTCGGGATTTCGGTCCGACAGTGAATAAGTCCTCAGCCATGATAATCATCTTGTTAATATGCTCTACAATATTATCTCCCTCTTGCATACATCAAGAATTATACTTATGCTATGCAAGAGGAGTTGAATGTTAACTTTAGAGACGGTGTCGTATTTTTCTTTTATAGTATTCCATATGTCTATATAAGTCCTATAAGTTTCAAAAAATTTGATTAAGTTATTACTTATTTTTTATGAACATGAGCATTGGGTTTTTTGCTTTTTATCTTTTGACTTCCACTGTTCAAACCGTTTCTTTTCTTCATGTGTAGATATATCAGTAAGGGTTGAAGCATTGATTTCGATTACATCATCGATATTATCATGAATAAGATCATATCTTATTTTTTTTATGCTACATATCATAATTACTGTCATTAAATTTGTTAACTTTTTCTAGTTCTGATAGAACAAGTTTACAAGCTAGGGAACTAAAACTATTTTTTCAATTAAAAATATTGTATAAGATTGATGTATAGACAGATATATTAAAAAAATAGAATAAGGTTAAAAAAATAAATTAATTTGAAGAACCTGATTGCGAAGAACTGATTAGGTCTAAGTGAAAGAAGTCGACTCCGGTTCGTGCAAGCTCTTCGCCGAGTGGAGATGATCGGAGAACTAACTGTCTAATCTGACTTGAAGATGATTTGATCGAGTGTGGTTCTGCTCTGGATTGATTTGATTGGACCGAGATCTGAGTGAGGTTTGGTTGTGATCAAGTTTCTTCATTGTCAGCAACCTGGTCAAGCTCTCTGACTTAGAACCATAGATGAAGATTTCTAACCTCTCTAGCTCTCTAGCTTTTCCCTCTCTAGCTTTTTCTCTCTCTCTAAAGAAGCATAAGTTTTCTCTCTTTGTCTCTCTCTCTCCCTGGATTGGGAGTCCCCGGTCAAAGAGAAGAAAAAAAAACAAAAAGACAATGGTGCAGATCGGAATGGGGCTCGAAGACAAGGGAACAAGGATTTAAATATTAAAAAATAGAAGGATAAGGGAACAACATCACATGGGTTGTTTGGAAGACTGCAGTCAAGCTTTCTCTTACGGGTAAAAAAAAAAGGGAACTTGCTTTTAACTGGCTCTGATACCAGTGTACGAAACAGAGAAGAGGGGAAAATGATGGGTTTTTGAGGGGGCTTCGGTAATAGGATATGAGTTTTTTGTTTATGTGTTATATTTTCTCAAAGAGAACACTCCACTTTATATAGAGGCAAAACCCATCATCTCCACCCCTCAAATGACTGCCTCTGAGGGATATTCTCTCAACAAACCCCACTTCCCACGATTCTATCAACTGAGAATGGTTGATTTGGTCACACCTCACACAAGACCAAGTCATAAGTAACATTTGCTTGACAGCACAAACAGGGGAGGCGGCAACAATTGAGAGGGAAAATAGGAAAGTTAGAGTGATAATTTGTTTGTATCAAACCAAAGAAGCAAATCCCAAGCAATGCAAACTATTGTAATTATCAAAATCATTCGATTCTACGCAAATATGAAATTTAGAAGTGTTACATGATTCTAATATGCATAGAAGTTAAATACAAAATATTGAAGTAGTACTATAGAAATAGAATCCAAAGACACAAATCAACTTGATGACTCTAAACTAAATATCTACCTTTCTTTAATGCTCTCTAAAATAAGTCTTGAAGGTAAGGTGATCCTATCAACCTTCTATTTGACTTAGAGACCTACTGGTTACTACACGTGTGCACCGTACTCCTTTTTCTTACCATGGATCGTGATGTTGATTTATGTGTGATTAGAAGAGTACATATTAGGGTTTGAGGTTATGAAGATTTTCTTGGTGACGATTAATCGTCATGAAGGTTCTACTTTGAAGAGAGAACTTGCTTCTCCTTCCTCCCTCCCTCCCCCAAAAAAAAAAAAAAGAAAAAAGAAAAAAAAAAACACCACCACCACCACACCATCATAAATGTGCATTGCATGTGAAGTGTATCTTCATTTGTTGGAGATTGAACTCTCCTTATGTTTGGTTTGATATCTGTTCTTTCTCCCACCACTTATACAACTTCATCACCTCTAAAATAAGAAGCTAGGGGTTTTGAAGATGGTGCATGTAGAAGTTCTTCTCAAGGTTGAAACGATTTTATATTTAACGAATATTTAAAATAAGGATGAAATGCTTTCCTATTGATAATGCAAAATGCCAAACAATGTAACACTGTTTAGATTCAGTGTTTTATCATTTATATAAATGTTGTGAAAAAACTTATATAGAGTTTTGAAAATTGTGTTGCAAGTATACAACAATGTCATAGTATTTACAAGTGCGATCTACAAGGAAGGGGTTTTCTCTTTTTTAAAATGAAAATTTCTTTTAAGAAAGTTGATTGAAAAGAGCTTTTACAAAGTAGGTTGAAAATGGGTTTTTGGGGATTGTTTCTTCAAAAAAAGAAAAGAAAATGAAAACAAGAAACAAGGAGAGAATAGAGAAACAAATATAAAGAAAACAAGGGGAGAAAAGAAAAAGGGAAAGGAAAAATAAATGCAAGACTAGAGAACATGAAAACAAAGAGAAAGAGGGAAAGCAAAAGAGAGGAGAAGGACTAGAATTAATTGCACGAATTAAAGAGAATAGAAAATAAAAGGTAAGATAACAAACTAAAATGAAATTGAGAACAAGAAAGTTGAAGAGAAGAAATAAGAGTATTAAACTAGGCAATGCTATCGATAGCGTCGCGTAGCGATGAGGTATCACTAAGACTATTTGGGGCTATTGCGGTAAAATAACGGCAAAAAACACAAAATCAAATAGCGGTCTAATTTAAATATGTGTAAATATTAAAAAAAGATTAAAGAAAAATCTAGAAAATCAAAAAGTGTATATTTCATGATTTAAAGAGATCCTAAACATGAAATAGACATGTAATTGTCACATAATACCAAAGACTACTAGAGGAAAAGTCAAAAGTCATCGTCTTCGAGAAGATGAGCTGAGTGGTAAGAGGACTGCCCTAGGAGGAGCTCACGGTGATTGAGGTGAGAGGAAGTGCTAGGTTAGGTGTCAGAGTCTATGAGAGGCGACGGGAGCACGCTGAAAATTACAGGTGGTAGTGGAATGTAGTGGTTAAAGGTTGAGTTTAATTTAAAAAAAATAAACTCCAAACCAATTTTAAATAGCAGGCAAAAAGCGGATTTTGCACATAATCGCCTGCTATTTACCGTTAGGACGCGCTATTGGTCGTTTTTGCGAACGGAAAGCGCATATTCCGCATAATGTCATCGCTATTGGGCGATAGCGTAGCATTGGGCGATAGCGTAGCTGGAAGAGATCACTAACGCTATTAGCGTCGCTATTGCCGGGCTATTTACCGCTATTTATAACAGTGAAACTAGGTAATTATGATTAATTCCACTACACAATTTATTATTAGATTTAGAAAATAATCTTTTTTCATTTTATATTTCTAGAATTAAGAAGCATAAAATATCAATCTATCTACAAAAAGAGTAGCTTATCACATTATATTCTAAAAGTAAGCCTAGAATTAATGAATAGAAATGATCAAATTAAAAAGCAATTCTAGAATAATAAAAGAAGCATAGACCATCAATCTATTTAAAGAAAATATAACCTTTCAATTTTATGTTATTCTACCAACTGCTAATTAATTGATTATTCTAGCATGAACAATTAAAGCATAAAAGGGAGCAATTTTAAATCTAATAAATAAATTATACTAGCTTAATCTAATCCTAAGTAGCCTAAGAAATTAAGCTACTCATATTAATTCCTAAATTATTACCAAATAAAGAAAACATGAATAAAAGCAAAAAAAATAAAACTAATTAAGAAAAAGCAGAACTAGCTAAAGCATGAAAGTAAATCTACCCAAATCATCATTTAAAAAGAATTAAAAGGAAATAAAAAATAAAAACACACATTGAGAGGGGTTCGCCCCTCCTGTGGATTTAAAAATTCTTCAAGTCTTCATCATCAAAATATAGAAGAAGAATTTTGAGAGGGGGGAAATTATTATTTTTATTGCAAAAACTAATTTTTTTACAAAATCTGAAAGGCCACAAAAGAGTAGTACTTCTTTCTAAAAATGGGATTACAAAATTTCACACCTCTCACCCTCACGCCCATACCCTATTTATAAGCTACAATAATCACTTACAACCATTAGATGAAACTTGCTCTCCAAGAATTAAATTTCAACCATTGAGATAATTCTCTTTCTTGCTCTCCAAGCCTTGAGATATGGGCTTGTTGGCTTCATTTCAACCATATTAAAGTCTCTGACTCTGTCATTTCTCCAAATTGATCCAAATTGAAAGTATTGATAAGCATTGAGGTATAGCTTTGTACCCTAACAGCACCGATCACAATGACATAAACAATGATTAGCTCCACACTTGAATGCTCAATAGATCTTTTTACACGTCGTTGCACTACCTATGTAGTGTACGACACTCGGCTATAACTTTTCATTTGATATGTAGTGTACGACACTCAATAGTCTTAGCGTGAATCCATTTGATGGGTGATGTGTTTTCTAGATTGAGTTAACCATGTACATTTGACTATTTTTGAGCAATTTGTTGCCTGTGAGATAACAATACAGACAATAATTTCTAGCCAATATTTTGGATAGTCAACTTCCTTTTCTCATCCAGTCAACTTATTTTATTAAATGTAAAATATTGTGCACATCTTTTTTATTAATTTATCTTGCTTGACATTCTTCAACAGAGGGGCGAGAATTGGTAAGAATATTGCTTGCTGCTGGCGCAGATCCTACAGCTCAAGATGAACCATACTGCCGAACAGCATTGCATACAGCAGCAATGGTTAATGATGCAGAGTTGATGAAGGTAATTGCACACCCTTCCCTAACCTATTGAAATATTTCTGACTTATATATCTTGACCCAAAAGCTAGTTATAGACTAGAAATTATGTAGATTCTCTTGCTTTCTTCTGGGTTCAATTTATATATTATGATTCTGATGTATTTTCTTGAGCAGATTATTCTTGAAGCCGGAGTGGATGTTGATATAAGAAATGCTCAAAATGCAACTCCACTTCATGTTGCATTAAATAGAGGAGCAAATTTATGTGTTCCTTTGCTTTTATCTGCGGGAGCAAACTGTAATTTGCAGGTAATTTGTCATTTGTACATTGTGTTTGTCTATATTATTTGATAACAAATGTTTTTGTTTCCTGAGAGCACTGATCATGATTGTGTATAATTTTTTTCATACACTATAGCATGCTCAAATGTCCACGTAAATAGTGTAAACTTGTACATTATATGGAAAAAAGTAGATGCTCTTCCTATCATGATAGCATTTTTAGAGGATATTATGATAATCTTTTATAAACATGAGGTTCCCTTTAGTTCATGAGGATTCTACTTTAGTGGTCTTTCCATTCTGTCCACGTCATAACATGTAGTATTGACAAGCTTCGGTAATTCATTTTTTAATCTACCTACAATGTCTCGTCTTAGGTTTATCTTACCCTTGTTTTATATTTGTTTTTTCAGGTAAAGAGTATCATAACAATACATTAGGATACTAGTTATGTGAGGGGCTCTTAACCTTGTACTTTGCGAAATCAGAACAAATTGCATTTTGAAAATTTATCTATTTCGGATTTTAGGCAATATCTAGTTATCTACTCTTTCCTCTGAAATTTGAAAACTTTCAATCCAACAATGCACATAACTTCAATATCTGACCTAAAGCCTCTTGAAGAGTTCTTTGTTAACCCCAGATTTTGCATTGTGATAGTAGAGGAACTTAGAGATTGGAGCTTCATTTTATATGGACCCATAAGAGAAACACTTAACGTGCTGTCAATGTTTACAAAAGAGGAAGTGCACGAAGAAGCATTATACCCCTTTATAAAGCAAGGTGTACGTTTTGTTGGGGTTGGAGAGGCGCATAAATGGACTCGGGTAATCTACTTGGCCACATGACTCAAAAAGATTAAATCTTTTTGAGTCATGGGTCTAAACATATTAACTATATATCCATCCCTCTTTTCAATGTGAGACTAAATCCTACTTTATTCCTTTTTCTAAACCAAACCCTTACTTAACAGGATGGGTGCGAGACATTCCGTAACAAATCTTCACCTCGGCATGGATCCAAACGATTCCAACTAGAGCATAGTACCAACTGTTTGGCTAATAAAGATAGTGTCTCAACTTATCACTTTGTGAATGAGCAGAGTGATACCAGAGGCAAATGTGACAGCATGTGTACCCAAGGGAGCCCTAACTGTGCTGGATTAAGTTACACTAAGCCAAATGTAACACCATGTTTGCTTCATCATAAGCTCTAACTCATGCAATAGAATCTTCAGACATACAGAGCATTAAACAAAGGCCGAACAAACCATAACTCTAATACCAAATTGTTGGTGTTACAAAACGGAGATGAACTAAGCTAATCAACTTGGGCTCTATTGACTCAGTATGTTTCATCCTTTTCATTCATGAGTCTGAGCATATTAACTATATATTTATCTTATTGTCTTTCCTGAGGCTAAATCCTACTCTATGCGTTTTTCTAAACCAAGCCCACATTTAAAGGAATGGATGTGAGACACTCTTTAATAAATCTCCATCTTGGAATAGATCCAATAAAGTCCAACTAGAGCGTAGTATTATAACTGAATGACTAATGGAGATAATGTCTTTACTTAATTCTTTGCAAATGAATAGAGTAATACCGGAGGCAAAAGTGACCAAAAGGAGTCCTAATCGTGCTAGATCAAATTACACTATGCCAAATACAATGTCACTCGCACTCCACCTTGAGCTCTAACCCATGCAATAGAACCTTGAAACAAACATAGCATCCAACAAACACCCTTCAAACCATGCCTCTAATACCAATTTGTTGCGGTTAGAAAGGCCCATCATTGGAGATGAACGAGGCTAATTGACTTGGGCTCAATTAATTCAAAAGGATTCATTCTTTTTCATTCATGAGTCCAATCACATTTAACCATATAAATCATATTTAACCATATATATGCACCTTATTGTTTCCAAGGGGGATTAATTCACACCCGATGCCTTCTTCTAAGAAAAAACCACATTTAACCGAATAGATGGAGACACTCCTCAACACGCTTCAAGGCGTAAAGCGTAAGTCTCATAAGTCAAATAATATTTCAATTTCAGAATTTACGAATATTATTAGTGTACAATATATAGTGGTGTACCACTTCATAAATTGATAGGTTCAAGCACTGGACAATAAATAAGAATGAAACAGGTTAATTGTATACACAATTAATCATAAATAGATGCAGACATATAGCTTATATATAGATACATGGACAAAATGAAGACATATGGCCTCAAGTTACAATTTCTTGTTAAATACAATCATAGAAGAGAGATTTGCTGTTCCTAGAGATGAATATAAAATACATTCAGACGAACAAATAAACAAGGAATCTGAATTCAGTATTATTGGGAAAAAATTGAATTGGAAGCATAGTACAAGAGATGTTTGTGTGGAGCACACGAATGAGCAGACCCGTGACATTATTAGATAAGATAATTGCTTTGGCGTTTTGCATTTAATTCAAAAAAATATAGTCTGATGTTGGTACAAAGAAAATGAGAGTAAAGGCATTTTCTTTTTTTATTATAAAGATCCTTTTTTAACCTCTTTTCTCTATCTTGAAGTGTGCACTTTCCAAAAGAAGCACTTCTTGGGGCATGAAGTCCCACATTTGTTATGTTTCAAATGATGAGTTGTATGCTTCTAGAGACAAATAGCTCTTCTTCTATGCATTGAGGTGATTACCCACGAAAATGTTTTGAGGCGTCAAGGCGTGCCTCGAAATGCCCCTTAAAAAGCTTCTTTAAATACTGCCTCTAGAACATATTTGAATGCAATATTATATCTCTCAACCCTCACCATAACATCAATGATTTGGTGCAGAATTGTCAAAATTGAACTGGGAAAAAGGTTGATGTTATTGTTTGCTAGAAATATTAGCAGATGGCATAAGCTAAACATAAGGATGAGTGTACTTCTCAAGTTGTCACTCATAATTCAGAAGCAAACTATGAATATTATGATGGAGAGACATTCAAGCTTAATATAAATGCAAGATGCAAATGAATCACGAATTACCTCAAGAGTATCGGCAAGACTTCTGATTTTCTTTATGTAGTCGACCATATTTGTTAAATCCGAATTTAAGTATTATTGGAGAGTAAGGATACAAAAAGCTACTGTAAAGCCGATTGAAGTGAATAGATCAGAGAGTTTTTTATCAACTTGAACCTAGAACCATTCTATTAAAAAAAGAAAGGAACCACATAACAGTGAGTTGACCTGTTGATGTCAGACCAAACATCTGGATTCAGCTTAAAGTCATAAAAAATGATGATGATCATTTTCGATGTAAGGTAATTCAATGAATAAGAAAAAGAGCTACCTAACCTAGCGAATAACAAAGCGCCAGAACAAATTGGGTTTACCATGAGAGGTATTTGTCATCTTCAAGTTTCATGAATATTATCTAAAACAGATGTTTTGAAGTTTTAAGAGTGGTAGTATGAGGTGTATTAGTAGTGGTCGTTATAGAAAAGGAAGAAAACATTAATGACTGGAAAGAAAAGGGGAACTAGTCATAATTGGTTATGTTGCCATTACAGTCTCTCCCACAACAGACAACTCATTAAGTTGTGTTCAGAGTTGAGGATTCAATTATATAAGCTCTTGCAAGCTAAGCATGCTTCTTTTTATATCATGAATCTTGAATTTTACACAATAGTAATTTTATATTCTCTTTTCTAGAAGCCTTAACCTAAAAGAACTTGGTTGTGAGCAATTAAGAAGTGTATGATAATAGTTAACTTAATGGAGGATATGGCTCATAATAGAACATAATGGAAGGATAGAATTCATGTAGCCGACTTCAAACAATTGAGATAAAGACTTTGTTGTTGTTTTTTAAAGTGTCAAAAGCTTCTTATGCCTAGTGGGAAGAGACTTCAAAGTTGTATGAAAAGCTTCTTATGCCTAGCATTTCCTTTGTCTCTCCTGTACTCTGATAAATGTCTTCTTCCTCTTCTATGACGACCTCTATCGATGAAAGCTAATGGCGATAGTTACCTCTCATGATGAGCTCAATTTCTTTCTGCGCTAATATATTGGACATGTTGATGGTTTTTTAACTTGTCAAGAGTGCCTTGCATCGATGACATCCCCCGACAAACTTGAACATAATCCAAAGAATGTTGTCTGACATTAACACGTTCAACTCATTTTTAGGAGGCTCATTTCTTCTTTTAACAGAGAAGACGCTCGAGTTATCAGTTGCTTTCTCTCATTCTATTTCATCTACTTTGCAATGACTTTTTGCATCCACATGTGGCACAAGGATCCATGAACTAAGTCAGATTTAACAATATCTCGAAAGGTTCTCTTGGCGTGTGGGTACACCAAGAAAATGAAGAGTTTTACCACTTCTCTTGTAGTAGTGGGCCATGTTGTCTCTGATCATGATCTCATGATCATGCTCCATTTGTCTTTAGGCAATTTATATCCATCTGTGTCTTCCATCTACACAAAAGTCGATGGCCTCACCGTCATTGTTCACAGTTTATTGTGCCTTTATGATTTTTTACTTGAGCAACATGCTCATTCTATTGATTAGATTATCCAAATAATATTGCTACCAACATTGTTGAAAAATGCGGCAAAGCAGTGGTATAAAGCGGAAACGACCCTTGGTAGCTTTGCTTTAACTAAAGTGATGGTATAAAGCGCCACTGGCACTTTTTGCTCGCAAACGTGTGGAAAAGCGGTAAAAAGTGCAGAAAAGCTCTTTAAAACACCTAATCAGATTGCGGATGATGATAACGGGGCTCAATTTTGCACCCAACATGACCCGAACCTGTTTGTAACACCTCACACCCCTCGTATTCCACGATCCCTCTTTCTTTCTTTGTTACTAACGCAAAAAACCCTAAAGACTATAAATAATTCTCCAGGTCTATCCACCTCCAATTCCGCCTTCAGGAGCTTTTCTCACCTCACCTTCTCCCACCACCTCCAACTCCTCTCTCGCCTCCTCTCATCATCCTCCACCACCTCTCTTGAGCTTCTTTCACCATCTCTAGCAAGCTCCTCATCGAAACTTTAGTTCACAACTACCTCTCCACCATCTCGATGAACCGTACTTTATTAATATTGTGCAGTGTTGTAAATGGCGGCCAATAGCGGGGCTATAGCGGCGCGAATAGCGGTCGCGGCCCTTCAGCGCTACGCGTAGGGGTTTCGCGGCTGACTTAAGCGGGAAAATCCGCTATTCATTCGAATAGCGCGTAAAAGCGGATTTTAGCGGGTTAAAAGCGGGTTTTCGCGGTTAAAAGCGGATTTTTGTTGTTAAAAGCGGCTAAACCCGCTATCACACATATTATGATGCTATATTTCTTGAATTTCTTCATAGTTTCATTCATACAACAAGCTTATTAATTGTTATTTATTGATAATACAAGAAATTTACAACTAATTGAATTTTTAGATTTTTTATGAATTTTCTTATTATTTAGGATATTTAAATATATTTAAATTTGACCGCTATTTGACTGTGCGCTATTTGCCGCGATTTCGCCACAATAGCCCGATGTAGCCTTAGCGGTACTTCACCGCGACGCGCCGCAATCCGCTATCAGCAACCTTGATATTGTGTGATTGCTACACGTCTATCTTATGATTAGGATATCTGTAAATCATGAATTGATGCATTTGTAGGATTTTTAGATTTTTCTTGAATTTTCTTTTGAATATTTATCCATATTTAAACTGGATCGCTTTATTACTTTGCATTTTTTCTGCTTTGATCCACCTAAGTAAGCTCGAAAAAACTAGGTAGTGTCTCACCGTTTCACTTGGCTTTCCGCTATCCACAATCTTGGCTGCCAAACAAAGCCAAACAACAACCATCAGACTGTTCATCTTCTAACTGAATCACAGTTGAAGTTCTGGTGGCCAATTCCATAGCTGAAATTGTTGAGGTCAAAATTTCAACCATATCTCAGTCTAGTGTCAAATCTATGGCATAGCTGGCCGCATGTATTTTACATGTTGCAAGTAGGTTTGGTATTTCATACCAAAGAAATCAACATCAACCTAGTTTCTTATTAGCTTCTGTGGCTTCTAATTCTAGGTTGATCATATATTGTATACATGATAGTCGCTCAATGAGTTGTTTTGAGAGAAAACAAATTTGACCTTGAAGATGATAAGTTAAAGCTATTTCTTGTAATTTCTTGAAGCAGTTTCTTGTCAGATAGCTGTAAAGATTATATCATAATGCAAGAATATATTACCTCGGTAAGCCTACCCAGATCGAAAATAAAGCAACTAGATTTCTTGTTTGATAGGTGCCTCCCTATCTTTTTTTTAAACAACTCTGTGCATGTGATGTGTGCATGCATGCACATTCACACATGTTGGAAGTTGTATAATAAAGGAATTTGTTCCAGTATCTCGTGAGGCTGCTTATTGTTACCTTAAAACCCTGTGAATTTATTTATATAGTTTGTCCTGTGTCAGTCCCTCTGCATGTGTGTGCATGTTGTTGCCATGTGGATCATGGAATTTGATGTCAGAAGCTTATAACCCAGATGATATGATTCCTTCGAAAAGCATTATTCATTTGAAAGGAAAAGGTATCACTTCTGAGATCATAAGTCCCTTGGAAATGCCTTGTTCATTTTAAAGAAAAGGTGTCTCCACTGGGATTCTCAAAGCATAGTGGGAGGGTTGCTTATTCATAAACATGTCAACTAGAAATCCTCTTGTTCAGAAACTTATTTCTAGCTTCTCTAATCTGGACCTTTTTGTCTTTCACATTCAGAGGAGAAATGTGACTAAAAGTAAAGAGCACGTGAAGCAGTACCAGGTCCAATTTGTGAATAACCTGAACCTTATCTGTTATTTTCTCTGAAGTTTGCTTACCTACGTGGAATAAGTTGGTCACTATGTGCACCTGGTGCTAATGTTTCGGAACTATTAAAAAAACTCACCTAATGCAGTTTCCGATCTTTCAGAAACGAACATAAATGTGCACAGGTTAGATAGCGGAGTGGCAACACAGAAGTTGACCCACTTTATCCCTATAAAATGTAATCAATTCATCATGTGAAATTTTAAATCCTGTTTTTTAGGGAATATAATATAAGTTGTACTTGACATTAAACACAAACTTATGTGCCTGAGTAGACATATCCTGTCAAATTTCATTCTACACACTTCTATGTGGACCCACTGGACGGATACAAGCAAAGTTCGACTTTGTTCCATGAATTTCTCATCTGCAAGGATCATGGTATTTGGATGAATGAATCCGCATAGCCTTCATGACGACCTTTCAGGTTGCTGAGTGCATATGTCTTTTTATTTTTGGGCTTACACTGATTCCGCACCTGTTCCAATCTTACTGTGAACACCGTGGAGTGAGAAAAACATTTTGATGTAAAAGATTCGCAGCAAAGCTTGTTTTTGACTTACTAAAGCACCCCGTGGTGTTGCATTGTATCAGAGATCAAATCAAGAAAATATTGCTGGCAGATTTATCTAGCATTGCGTTAATTTTATATAACACTCTTTAAGTTTCAACTAATTTGTGTACTTTTCCTAACCTTGATTAGGACGATGATGGTGATAATGCTTTCCATATAGCAGCTGATGCAGCGAAGCTGATACGCGAAAATCTTAACTGGATTGTTCTAATGTTACAACACCCTTGTCCTGCTGTGCAAGTCAGAAACCACAGGTACCACAACTTTAGACTAATATTATCAGTTTCAGTTAGGTTTCTATATTAAATTAGATCTAAAGAATTATAGTTCCTTAATAGCTGACAGCATGTTCCTATTAAAGCTGAAGTTTCCTGTATGTTTCTAGTCTACTGACTAGTACACTTGAACGTCACACACAAGATGGGTATTTTATGGAAAATGCGAAGCCGAAATTGATGAGTCACAAGTCTTGTGCTACGTGTTGCCATTACATGGGAGCCCAATGAAGTTTCAGTTGAATGTGGATTGTGGAGCCACTTGGAAAAGGGTGTCCTGTAGACAGGATAGTAGAATAATCATTGTCAAGTTTGAGTCTAGGCAGATTTTGCCTAATAATTTGTGAATTCTCTTGCTTTTCTACTCCTTTAAAATTACATATATATATATATAGTACTTTTAAAAGCAAATATAAGGAAACCTTGTCTCCCCACCTTTTCTTGGTCCTATTAGCTTATGGGTCTTATAAAGAGTTTTCAGTCTCCAATCTTATTTGAAATCTTTTTCAAATAGATCTACCTAATCTAACCATGTTGGTGCAACGGAGGAGCAATCCTCAAAGGTTCTCCAAGAGAAAGTCTAACAGAACAAGAAAGATACTACATCTGCTTCGGGGAATTAAATTCAATCTTTGGTCAAGAGAAGCAAATGGATATGATGTAATATTTGAAAGTAGAAGTCGAGGACATATTTGAGTAGTAACTAATATGGGGAAAAAAGTAGCATGGCTAATATGTCCGGGATGAAAATAACACAAGAGAAATTCAGCGCTTATATCGCTTCGAATTTGCAGTCCTTTGTGTATGAGAATCATTATCTATACTTGGAATGTACTGGCACAGTCAGAAATCATACTTTATCTGTCACATAAACAATGTAAAGGTTAACCATGTTTTGTATCTTTCTATGAGTTGACAGGGGTTGGACATTGTGCGATTTTTTAGTCCTTGCCTCGAGAATGGATTTCGGAGAGCTGATGGAAGCACTAGCAAATAAAGGTTTCTATCTCCGACCATGTAAGCAGAAGAACTGATTGTATAAGTAATATTTAATCTGGCCTTTTATTTTGTCGGCTTACATGTATAATTTCATTTTCACAACCTTAACCTTCTCACTTTTTAACTGGATTTCCATATTTTATTTAGCTATGAAGTTGGAGACTGGGTGAAATTTAGAAAAAGTATTAAAAATCCTGCATATGGCTGGCAAGGTGCAAGGCAGAAGAGTGTAGGTTTCGTGCAGAATGTTCTGGATGATGAGAATCTTATTGTTTCATTTTGTACCGGAGAGGCTCATGTTTTGGCGAATGAAGTTATTAAAGTGATACCCCTGAATAGGGGCCAGCATGTGCAGCTAAAGGCAGATGTTAAGGAACCAAGGTGTGTAGCATAAATTTTCTTGTGTCCTGTTGGATGATGCTGGTAGATATATCTCTGTCTATTCTGCTTTCTAGTTCCAAGTTTTCTTTCATGCAATTCCAGTTAATTCATTTATTTGTTCAGATGATCCTAATCAATATAACAATGGTAACTCGTATAGTGCCATTTTTTTTATGGAATGTCACACTCTAAAGTTCATGTAAAGTATGACTCAATGAGAGGCTCGGTTGACCTTAGTGGGTACTGGGGCTCTTTGTTGAGTTCATTCACGATGATACTAATTGAACTACTGTTGATGTCCGCCATGTTTTGTAATTTGTAGCTAAGCTTTAGGGGCCACAATGATGCCAAGTGGTTTTTTTTCCTTGTTTAAAACTGTAAACTATGAAGCAATAAGTACAGAATAGTACTCTTGGTATTTTCCTTTGATCTAAGTTATGTGTTCTGTTCATTTAGACTAGCAGTATTTCAAGATAGGTTTCTTAGTCGCTTTGGATGTTTATTTGTCTAGTCTGTCTAGTTCATTACAGAAGGTAGTGAGTGTTAACGGACCCTGCCACTGCACCAAAACTTTGATGTAGGCGTGAGAGTTAAGGATTATAACTTTATATTCTTACTGTCTCAGCAGGTTGAACGTCCCTTCATGGGCAGAAACGTGGATTCACAGAGCAATAATTTTTTTTAAATCCACTTTAGAAATTTTGGGCAGTAAAATTTGAACCTGGGTTGTTTTAATACCATGTTAAAGGACGCTGCCAGTTCACCAAAACTTATTCTAACATTGAGCATCCAAAGAACAGATGGTCACTCTCCCCTTTCCTTGCAAGACATCCATCTGGTAGCTTCGTCATGGTGTTTTGTCTCTAAATGTGATCCCTTTTCTTTCATCAAATGTTCATTTCTACTTGTTGATTTTGGTCTCATGTTATCTGCTATTCAAAATTGTTTTCCACCAGTTCCTTATTGGAATGCTACTTATTTATCATAATTGATTTACATTGACCTGACTCTTGGAGGTATGGATTACATCCGATTACTTGCTAGGTATGGCTTGCGTGGTCAATCTCGCGATAGCATAGGAACTGTTCTTTGTGTTGATGATGATGGAATTCTGCTAGTTGGTTTTCCTGGAGCTTCCAGGGGATGGAGAGTCGATCCTGCGGAAATGGAAAGAGTTGAAGAGTTCAAGGTCGGTAGCTGGGTCCGTATTCGTCCCGCATTAACTACTGCTATACATGGTTTGGAAGCTGTAACTCCTGGTAGCATCGGGATAGTGTATTCAATCCGTCCAGATAGTAGTCTTTTATTGGGCCTCTGCTATTTGCCTAGCCCATGGTATTGTGAACCAGAGGAAGTTGAACCTGTTGAGCCATTCAGGGTAATGAGATTTGACTCCTTATGTATTCCTCCTGAGTAGTTTATTTTATTTTCAACTTTTTGCACATTGTTTACGTGGTTATTTTTTTCTTGATTTTGCTTATGATGTCAATGGTTTAATGAGTTTCGCAGATTGGTGATCAAGTATGTGTAAAGAGATCTGTTGCGGAGCCTAGATTTGCCTGGGGTGGTGAGACACATCATAGTGTTGGAAAAATAAGTGAAATAGAGAGTAATGGTTTGCTTATAATTGATATTCCAAATCGATCAGCTATGTGGAAAGCTGATCCTTCCGATATGGAAAAGGTGGAAAACTTCAAGGTAAACTGAACTGGAGTGATTATGAGCTTTATAAGCAGCTGCTGTTGAACCTGTTGACGATCTTAACAGCTGGCATTTTTGTGTACAGGTGGGGGACTGGGTGAGGGTCAAAGCTTCTGTTCCATCTCCAAAATATGGATGGGAGGATGTAACTAGGAACAGTATAGGAGTTATACATAGTCTTGAAGATGCTGGTGATATTGGTATTGCCTTTTGCTTTAGAAGCAAGCCTTTCTGCTGCTCAGTGGCAGATATAGAGAAGGTCCCTCCATTTGAAGTAGGTCAAAGAATTCATGTGACACCATCTATTGCTCAGCCACGGCTTGGATGGTCTAACGAAACAGCAGCCACGATTGGGACAATTTCCAGAATAGACATGGATGGAACTCTCAATGTGCGTCAAATTTAAGTTTTAATTGTGAATTTTTTTAATCTTTCTCAGTTTCGTGTTTTACAATTCTGGAAATGGGGTTGTTCCCTTTGTGCATGATTGCAGGTGAAGGTGGCTGGTAGAAGCAGCTTGTGGAAAGTTTCTCCAGGTGATGCTGAGCCACTCTCTGGCTTTGAGGTTGGAGATTGGGTTCGTCTGAAGCCCAACAGCCTTGGAGGGCCTCGGCCCACATATGATTGGAACAGTAGTGGGAAAGAAAACATAGGTGTCGTTCATAGCATACAGGATTCGGGATATCTGGAATTGGCTGGGTGTTCAAGGAAAGGAAAGTGGATGGCTCATCACATGGATGTCGAGAAGATCCCGTGCCTTAAGATTGGTGAACATGTGCGTTTCCGTAGTGGATTAGTGGAGCCAAGATGGGGTTGGAGGGATGCTAGGCCTGATTCCAGAGGCATCATAACTGGTGTTCACGCTGATGGAGAAGTCAGGGTGGCATTTTTCGGTGTGCGTGGGCTCTGGCGAGGAGATCCTGCAGACCTCGAGAAGGAGGAGATGTATGAGGTTGGAGAATGGGTGAGGCTAAGAGGCAATTCGGATGCTTGGAGGTCCTTGAAGCCTGGGAGCATAGGTGTGGTTCATGGCATTGGTTATAGTGAAGATGACGTGTGGGATGGAACTATACATGTTTCCTTCTGTGGTGAGCAGGAGAGATGGGTGGGCCTGGCTGCTCACCTCGAGAGAGTGGATAGGCTCTCTGTAGGGCAACGAGTGAGGATAAAGAAGAGTGTGAAGCAACCAAGGTTTGGGTGGTCGGGCCACACCCACAGTAGCATTGGCACAGTATCATCTGTGGACGCAGATGGGAAGCTGAGAATATACACACCGGCAGGGTCGAAAGCATGGATGATGGACCCAGCGGAAGTGGAGAGAGTGGTGGTCGAGGAGGATGTGGAGATTGGAGATTGGGTGAGGGTTAGGGCGTCAGTTGCAACCCCAACATACCAATGGGGGGAAGTCAGCACTTGCAGCATCGGAGTAGTGCACAGGAAAGAGGATGGGGAACTGTGTGCAAGGAGTGGGAGGTTGAGAAAGTGAGGGCATTTAGGGTGGGTGACAAAGTCAGGATCAGGCCTGGTCTTGTGATGCCGAGGTGGGGTTGGGGATTAGAGACTTCTGCGAGTAAAGGGGAGGTGATGGGGGTGGATGCTAATGGAAAGCTAAAGATTAGGTTCAAATGGGGGGATAGACGGTTGTGGATTGGTGATCCTGCTGATGTTATACTTGATGATGATGATATGTCCTCCGACACGCCTGCCCTTGATGACTACTTCAGTTCGTAGGAACAGTAGCAGAGGCTCACTCTGATTCTTTTCTCTTTCTTTTATTTATTACAGTTAATGTTCCTTTTTGAAAAAGGGTCCCAGTGTTTGTATCATCGTCATCGCCATCATTAGTTTTATTGTGAAATATTACCATGGTCGAACTTTCTTCGAGCTGCTTGCGAAGAATGTCTATTTTATCAGCCCCTTTGCCAGCATGGGGAGATTCCCTTCTCAAGGCAATAAAGAAAGTTAAGCCCACGTTGAGTACATAAGAGGATTAGTAAGGTTCTGGTTTTCAGTTATTTGTATCATATAACATTTCCTTCACGAACAAAATGAAAGAGCTCACTGTAAAATTTGTACGTGATGCTAGTTAGAAAGCTTGCTTGGGTGCTGGAATCCTGCGTCCTAGCGTTAGTTCTATTCTTATCTTTAGTTTTATTCTTTTGTTCCCGAGATTCGCCGAGCTTGCAGTTTAAGATCAGTTGTTCCGCAAGTAACGTACAACCTTTTCTCCCAAGTAGTGGAAAGTTTTCTCTACTATTGCAGATCGTAATGTTGGGGGCAGATAAATTATGGAAGATTCTTGTTGAAAGCTTGTGCAGAGCTTCAGCTGCTGTGATAACCTGACGTTGTTGGAATTATTTGTTCGACGAAATCCGAGTTAAAAGTAGATGGGGAAACGGTTGAGCCGTACCAAGGAAGACCTTGGCTAGCGCACTGCGTAATAATAATAGATTGTTGGATGAGCTGTGCGCTTTTGCTGTCGACTGTTGGGTTGTGGAGATCAAGAGTTTCTTGACAGCCTTGAATTTTATAATATCCTTAATTTTAATCTATGAAAATAGTATACATCATACGCATATACAACCGCTTTCTATCAAATATTTTCTTTCGTAGTGAGTAGATTTTTGGCATCACGTCTGGAACAATTATCATTACACCAATTAAAACACCCACACCTTTTCTTTAGTGATTTCGCACCTCAGCAACGAGGATTTCAAGTCCATAATAACATAATACAATCCGCAGAAATCAGAATAGTTCCAATAACATCTTCTTTACCATTCCTATTATATACAAATAAAACTGTGAATCACGCAAAATAACGGCGAGTACACAATAAGAGAGAATTACAATCGTATGTTATCTTCCTCTCCTTTTCTTTTTGAAGGAGTCCTAGATCATGATGGAAATAATTAAAATGTATTCATTGATCATAAAATAATCAACACCACCAACAAACAAATACTGACTCAGCAAGTCCATACATAGTTTCAAGCATAAAATTTAAGAAGGTACATGTGTGTGGGGGCAGAGATAGAGAGAACTCTCAGCCGTCACAAGTAATACAAGAACAACAAGATCACAAGCATCAAAACTTCAGCGGCATCATCTGATCCACTCAGCCGATGCAAGAAAATTAAGTAGCTACCTAGGCCAACAAAGTACCAACCATGACAGTTACAGCTTTTCCTTTAATGTGCACTCTCTGTGCTTCTTCAACTAGTTCAAGCTCCAATCTCCCACCCCTTGGAGAAGCCTGTTACAGGATATCTCAACTTGGTTTAAATCTCATTAAGCTATTAATAACAGCTATATACAGATGATTAAGATGAAACATTCTTCTTCCTCTCGCTCGAGGCACTCACTAGACTTTCAGTAACTTGCGTCTTATCATTGTAGCTAGCTACTAACTATTTTAATGCTTATGAGAGAAGTCACAGATGTGAAGAAGAATATAAGATAAACTATACCATGAAAGCTATAAGACTGTGCTTCCCCAGCTTCTTACTCCAGTAAGGTGCTAAAGCACAATGTGCGCTCCCGCAAACAGGATCCTGATCAAAATAGAAAATATTAAGTATTATATTTTAAGTATGAGAAGACGTTTTACTGAATGCCCTATGGGTAAACGAAATTTATCATGACATGAGTTCCTATGTCAGCAAGACCGGATCAAACAAATAATCTCGGAGCTGATTGCATTATCTATCTCATTATTCATTTCCGTTAAACTGCCAAGAAATAAAATAAACAAACAATTGAGTAGAAGATAACAATATATATTTAATATTTAATATTTAATTGAAACTAAGAGAAATTTTGACAGTTGAAAAGCTCTCCAATACAGCAAAAAATTCATGTACAATGAGGTGGCAATTAAACATGCATAGGAAAAAAAAAAATTGTTTCAATCACAGGCCTTATTTGAAAGAAAGGTATATCATCTTTCATCAGATAAAAGTATTAATCCTATATCTTCAATTATAGTGTAATCTATTAATTCATACAAAAAGTATAGATTCTAAATCTATATCTATATCTATATCTATACTACTTACAGAAGAGAATACCCACGTCAAAACTTTTGATTTTCTTTTTTACCCTCTCAATTTTTTTATAACTCATAATTATACCACTATTTATAAAGCTAATGATCCAATCATTAACTATGCACCTCTTCAATTTCTCGAATTATTTGCTCATTCATTAGAATATATTTATTATATTAATAATTTATAATGATAACAAAATTCATAAATATATGATAATTTATTATAAATAATTATTAATTATATAAAATAGTGAAAATTATTTATTTAATATATTATTCATAAATATAAGATAATTCATTATAAAGAATTTTTAATTGTAATAAATTAGTAAAAAATATTTATTTAATATATATTGTTGTAAAGAATATTACCTTGTTCGATAATTAATATCGTCTTAGTAATAAAAATTTGGACTTTATAAATCAAAAATATTTTTATTTTGGAAAATTGATTTACATAAAAATGTTTGGACCCTTGAAATTTATGAGACGTATACTTTTCTCTTCTTTTTCCCAAAATATTTAGTCATTCACTAGAATATATTAATAATTTATAACGATAATAAAATTAATAAATATATTATAATTCATTATAAAGAATTATTAATTGTAATAAAATAGTAAAAATTATTTATTTAGTAAATTATTGTACATAATTATAATTATTATTAATAGTATAAATAGGGATTGATTCTTTACGTTGTAAGGAATATTACCTTTTTCGACATTATAATATCGTCTTAGTAATAAAAATTGGATGTTATGAATTAAAAATACTTTTATTTAGGAAAATTACTTTATATAAAAATATTGCATCCTTAAAATTAATGAGACATGCACTTTTTGTTGGCAAGTAAATGTCTCACAAATTTCAAGGATCCAATATGTTTATATAAAATATTTTTCCTAAATAATAGTATTTTTTATTTATACCATCCAATTTTTATTACTAAGATGATATTAATTATCGAACAAGGTAATATTCTTTACAATATAAAGTCATATAATATTAAAAATTATTGCCATTATTTAATAGATATTGTAATAAAATATGTACATAACATAAATATTTAATGTAATAAAATATGTACATAACATAAATATTTAATAATATAAATAATTTAATTATTTCAATAGTGTTACTTAAACTAACGATTACATTATTATTTAATAATTATACTCTTACATAAACTGTTTAATAACATAATAATAAGCAAATTTAAATAACTATTAAATTTATGTTAATAATAGTTTAACTTAAATTTTTTAATCATAGTGCAATAATAAGCTTCTCTCAAGCATTAAGAAATTAGTAACAATGTTACCTCATTTATTCCGAGCTTTGGGCAGAAAAAACGAGAGAAGAAATCAAATCCAGATCCAGGAGGAGCAGGTGCTGTTATAATAAGCCCCATTCCAGCACATTTTTGTATCTCATCAAAGTTAGGTTGTATATTCACAACGTCCTCCCCAGAAGACAGTTCGACCTACGCATGTATAATAAGGGTATCAAATTATGTGTTGGCAGCTAGGAAGAAGCATTCCTTGAATCTAAAGTTCAAGAGGAATCAGCAGAACTATAGAAATTGAAAATTAATCTTCAAGTAAAGCCAATATGAATCTATGATATGACAAAAACATGAACCCACAAAAATATTTTACATGTAGTAATCAGATGTTAAGAAGGCAAATAGAAAGTACTATAAGATCACCAGCCGTTGAAGTTTTTTGCACACTGATCATGGATAAACCATTTAAGGTAGTAGGAATTGATGGGATCTCCTTGGGTTCACATTCACCAAAAGTAATTACAGGAAAATCCAACTCAATGGAGAAGCCATCCTGTGCATCATCGCCTGAGTGCTTCAATCGGCAGATCTTCTTAGCAGTCAAGATTCCAGATTTAGTTACAAACTCAATCACATCACCTTTTACTGTGCCAGAAGTGAAAATGAAATGTGCAGCAGCAATGGTCCCATGACCGCAAAGTTTAACCTATAATTCGAAATACGTAAACTCAGTACTTTACAGAATAATTTATAACAACTAGTTCAGATAATCAACACTGTCGTAGTTTGGAGATGAATGCATGTTAGAATAACGAGGTAAGAAACTCATAATCATGACATGTCCAGCCTTCCTAGTTCAATATAATACCACAAACAATTATTACTTATGGTGAAGCTTACTTAGCATCGTCATGCATGACTTTTCGTACAGTAAATACATGAAAGCAGAAAAGCAGACATATGCGAAGGATAGCAAAAGACAAATGACAAACAGTTTCAAACAAACAGTTTCAAACGTAT